TATTCTTCTCATTTTTGATGGTGCCTCTTCTCATTTCGATGCAACTATTGTTGACGCCGCCGAAAAACATCACATCACTTTATTGTGTCTTCCGAGTAACACGACACACGTGCTGCAACCGCTGGATAAATGTGTTTTCCGCAGTTTGGAATATCATTGGGAAAATGAAATACTTAACCATTACAAGCGGTATCCTGGCAGGAAGTTGAATCGTGCAAGATTTGGAGAAATTTTGAGGAAAGTGTATCCAAGGGCCATGTCTTCTGAAAATCTTCAGTCAGGATTTCGCGCAACAGGAATATACCCACACGACCCAGCTGCGATCCCGGAGATGCATTTACACCTAGTTTAATGTCAGAGAGGCCCGATTCAAATACGGCAGCTACAGATGTTCAGGAGGAGAATGAGGAAAACCATGATGTCAGCTTTACATAATCTGATGACATACCCCTTGCAGTACTGATGGCCAACGGAACTTCAATGTTACAGATAACAGCTACTTCTAATGAAAAAGAAATAAACTTGAATCAAAGGTTTGCAGTTCTTGAAACAACAAATCTTGTGACTGGTCAAATAGACAGTGATCAATTGGATCTAAGTTTCAGGGAAGTACTTCCCACACCCGAATGGAAGGCCAACGCCACAAAAAGACGAAAAGCCATCAATTCTACTGCACAAATCGTCGTAAGAGATTTGTTTAAAGACCCAAATCCAGCTCCATCCGGCTTAGATAAAACAATAAAAAAATCTAGTGAGTCTGGAACCGTTAAAAGTAAAAGGTCCCGAAAGAATAAAGAGGAAAACTGGTACTGTTTCATATGCGATAAGGATGAAGTACGTGACATGCGTCTGTGTGTAGTATGCTTAAGATATCTCCATGAGGAATGTGTAGGCTTGTGTAGAGGTGATAAAATATCATTTGTTTGTCATCATTGCGAAGGCAAAATCTAAGATTCTGTATGATTTTCTTTAAATAAGTTGACTTCTTTTATTTAAATCTGTCTAGATTTAGGTGTTTTTTTAATTTTGTTTAATTAGAAATATAGCTTCGTTTATTATACAGTCTTGATTTACATTTTGATTGTGGTTTTATGGTGGCCTTATTTGGATACATGGGTTCCTAATAAGGCCAACGGTAGTGTTTCGAAAAATATATTTTTTTTATATGAAAGAAAAGGTCTCTGAGTTCTCCGATGTAGCTTGTGTAATAAATATATATACAATAATACCTATAAAATTTCAAGGTCGTTTCGCAAATATTTACGCAGTTACAGCTATCCAAACGTTAATATGGCCTTATTTGGTACAGGTACCTTATTATGACAAACATCAGAAACCATAGCAACGGTACTCCGATATTATCCAAAGCAATTTGATTATTATGTTATAAAAATATTTTATAATCATGGTACAAATAATGCATTGGAAGTTTTAAAAAGGAATATCTCGAAACTATTAGCTTTAGACACTTCTAAGAAATGAACCTTTTTTGTTGTGAAAATACGAGAAAATAATATTTTTCGATCAGTTGTTGTATACAGGGTAGCACAAAAAGTGGCACAAGTGGCACCCTCTAGAAGTTTGGCTAGAAAAACTCCCTATACTGAGTTTTATGTCAAAATCTGAAATACTTCTCAAGCAATAAGGAAAAATAGAAAATAAAATTGTAACTTTGACACCCTGTATCTGCAAACTATCAACCTTTGGACTAAGGTATGTTTAGGTCAATTCACATATTTTGGTCTGTAGTATCTCCAGTTTCGAGATTTCAAAACCTTTCGCATGCATGTCTGCTTAGATCATTTACTACATTCTTGGAGTCGTATTATAAGAATGTAGTAGTAAAGTAACGAATGTTTGTGCTTCGTATAAGTAGTTGTAATGTAATCGTGATAATTCCAATAACGTCAATTTTAAAGCAAACTGACCGTAGAATATTTTTATTTCTAGACATCCGAATAAGTTAAACAGGTAAACTCGATTTCATCTATAATCATAAAGTAAATTAATGACAAAAACTAATAGGTGTACATAAAGTTCGGGGCCAAAAAATAATAGTATACCAACTCCTCGTAGTAAACTGACTTTTCTTTCGTACTATGTTTGTTGTATAGGGCTGATTGTCTGACAAAATATGTACACTGGATCTAGAAGCTGAAAGATATCTCAAAGTACCTTAATCAGTTTCAACAGAGAAGCATGGACTGAAAGCCCATATTCGTATAATACGTTAACATTCTTTATCATGTTTTGAAAATTGTTTTTTTATTAATTGTTCCTAAATTCCCAAACCAAGATTTTACTTTTACTCCCACAAAATTAGGCCTTCTTTGACTGAATGTGGTCAAATCCGAAGCTGAAACAGAAGCTTCGGTTGGACCCTACTCATTATATGCTTACCTTCATTTAAACTATGTTGCAATGACCGGCTCATCAAAGCAAATATCCTTCGTGAAGAAGAGCGTAATCAAGAATATATTTAACACGCATAATGTGCATTATAACGATTACAATTAAATTTTTTCGACCTTCAACTAATTTAAACGTACCAAACCTTAACGAGGCTCACGACTATTTTTAGAACAAACGTATAAACAATGAACGACCAGAAATTGTTGAACAATTTCATTGATTGTAAATATGAGTTTTATTATTTTCTCAAAGTACTTCAGCATAATATAACATACATGAGCCATTATAGCATCTGTAAATAGCGTTGGTATTTATATCTATAGCGTCGATCTTAATCGCCATGCAAGAACTCAGTTGATTGAATTTAACGGTACAAACAAGATTACTTTCATCTCGACAAGTGACAAAAAATCGTTGCAAACTTTCATTATTACTCTCAATATCATTAGAAAAAGTCGGCATGGAATTTGGTGTACACCTGTTGCATTATTGATAGAAAAAATTTCAATTCAAATTAGCATACAACATTGCACAGTTGGTGGTGTTAGAAACGATAACTATTAGAGAACAACTAGCATTTTTTCCAGAAAGGTGGGGATTAAGGGGGAAAGCCAAAACCGTTGGCTGAGTTGACTGAGTATACGTAGAAGTTAACCCTCGTAATGTGGAAGAGCCCTTCAGTATAGCCCTTGCGAAAGATGTGAACTTATAGAGGAGTACCAGGTAACGAAAAAGCGGATCACCTGGCAAGATACGCAGAAATGAACAGATCAATACCGACCTAAGCAGAGGATCGCTCAACCTTCTGGCTGGAGTTCTCTAAGGCCACCCGATATTAAATAAGCATACCTTCTTCTTAGTATTAGTAAAAGAGCCTGTGCTCCAAATGCTGGGAAGAGGATGGAATATGAGGGAAGCGTGTCGTGTATCAAGATCTTTGAGGTCTTATTATTGAGGGCGACGGAGTTTGATAAAGGGGTCTTTCTTGATAAATTGGAAGATTCAGTAGCCAGTTTTGAAAATAATAAAACTACATCATGCATATATATATATATATATATATATATTTGTAGCTTTGTTGGTCTCAAGATAAGTTTCAAAGAAATACTAGCTGTCACGCTAGATATAATTTTTTTCGCCTGTAAATTAAAAAAATAAAACTCACTGCCCACGGACGTGATGTTCTTGACCACAGACGTGATAAAGCAGTTGTATTTTTGTCATATCTATCCAAAATGCAATTATATAGGGCACCTACTGCATGTGTAAAATCTATATGAACCTGAGTTTGCTAAGTGAATTCGAACTATCATTAGTCACCCTACGCGTCTTATTGAGTAGCTAAAGTTTAAGCTCTTTCCATAACCACCTTAGGATGAAATAGGGCAGGAATGTGGAGTATTGGATGATGACAGCTAAACAACCAAAACGTTTGAATTTGTTTAATTATGCAAAATACAAGAGCTGCCCTAAGTTAAGAAACGTAAAGGTAGGAAAAATATTTATAAGTGCTACGAATTATTAGTACTTCTCAATTACTTTTTCAAGGTTGAAAGCGGTATGTCTTCGCTAGTGTCAGTGTCAGATCCGTAAACGTCTTCATAGTGTACACGTTGAGGCAAAATGACAGATTGAGAAACACCATCTTCTGTATGGTTCTTTTCGAGATTAATACCGTTAACTGAACCAGGCTTAAATCTAAGGCTGCCTAAATGGTAATGCTTGCAAGTAGTTGAACATTCTAAGCAACTTAACCGTCTCACAAATAGTTTTTGCGGTTCACTGATATGCCACACTATTTGGTGTGAATTTAGTATTCCCTTGAATACAGGGATACTGTTGGGAACCAATTTATCCATGTCAAAGAATGACTGATCGTCAATTGATAGAAAATTTTGTGCTTCTTCAACTACTACTTTTATAAGTTAGATAGAGTTACCCAAAAAGGCCGAAATTTGCAAAATGTTGCGTAACTAATCTTTCTAAACTGAGGATAAGTGGCAACAAACTTTTTATGTAGGTTTAGTAAGGTATCGTTAAGGTACCTTTTTCGTTTTTTATTTTTATTTCTTGTTATTGTTTCTTTTTTCCCAGCTGTGAGAAGACTATTCTCGTCTTTTTCTAGAAACTCTCTCAGCTTCACTGTTGCTTTTACAATCTTTTTTCCATAGTTATGTTACAATTTCGTATCTGAATCTTAAATGAAGTAAGCCTACGGACATGAGTCAAAAATTTGTTCTTTTTAATTAGATCGCCATTAATAAATGATGAAAAACACATTTTATTTTCATGTTTTTTCTTTGACAAAGTTTTGCCTTATTTGTTGCTCAATAGTAGCTTTTTTCTGACAGGTGGTGGTACCGAATGTTTATTCAAAATATCTTAAACTTTTGAAGAGGGACTTGTTGAGGTGCATCTAGAAGTGGAATTACACTTTTGTATTTGTTGATGGGTCTTCTAAGTGCCGCATTTTGTTTCTCCATTTCTTTGAGTTTCCTTCTCATTCTGTCTCTATTTTTCCTGGATATTTTTTTCCCTCTTTCTTGAGAAGCGGAGTTCCGTGCCATACTTGGAGATGGCCATTGAGGGCTATCCGGTGGTGTATTTGATTGGAGGAAAATGGTTTCATCCTCTTGAGCTTTTCTTCAGCTTTTTTCCGTTGTCTATAGCGTCTGGAGCGTTCCTTCCAATCTTTTCGAACTCATGCTCTCTCTCACTCAGTCTTGAATATTTCGCCGGCTGTTTCTTTTACGATCTCTATCTTCCTCAGCGTGACGGACCGGATCATCTCTTATTTTTTCTCTAGCTCGTCTCATACTCATTTTCTTAGCCTCCCTCCTTTTTTCCAATTGTCGACTAATTATCGTTTTCGTTTTGGCCATTTGAAACCTAAAATTATCAATTAACATTGTTACACAGCATTCTTAAAATCAACAGAATCACGGCCGTGGATATTTTGTCACATCCGTGGACAACAAGAATCCACGGATATGATGTCCACGGACATGACGAAAAAAAGTCTGAGAGAATCTACCTTCTATAATATTTGAGGTTAGAAAATGCGTCAACTGTTAAATCATACCATTATGCGAAAAATGGATTTTGGAATCGCTTTACCGATACGTTAGACATGTTCTTAGGTGTAATGTTTACAGCGCCCCTGCTACAAATTTGTTATAGCATATTATTCGCGCGAATTTTTGAATTTATAGTGAGGGTCCACGGACATGACGGAAATTGTGTGACAGACTTCACTACATGAAAATTAACGTATAAAAGTCGGGTAATTTATTTTCATATTCAGGAAAAGTGAAGAAACATAAAAATAACGTGTTCACCAGCACAATTTCTTTTTATTTCTAGTCTATTAATAGAAAAAAAAACTTTTCGTGTTCAGAGCTGCAGTTGTGACTGTCCACGGACATGATAAATCACGTTCTGCGGACCAGATCAACTTTCAAAAAAAGAAATTTTGAATAAAAATATCAAGTAAGTAGGATTCAAAAGAGAGAATTTTTATTATTTAATGAAAAAATATTGCAAAAATAGTTTTTTGACAATATATATTAGCTGTGACCTACTTTCTGCCTTATTAATGAGAACTACCCAAAAAGATCAGATTGATGGCATTCCTTGGAAGGGCTGGCAGGTTTGACATCAATTTCAATTCCCAAAGGCTGCCAGGCTTCGCCTCCTCACTACTGTTGTAGTACTATGTTGTTAGATCACAAATGAGGATTGACCTCTGTCATGATCATGATAACAGAACTGGACAAGTTTTTAGTTAAACTACGTCGACATGATCACGGTCGTAACAACAGGTTTTTTGCATTTAATTTTGGGGATTGGGATGCTTTAGAATTGAATGGTAGCGACACTCGTGTTTAACATCATAATGGTGAAAAAGTATGTTTAGGGTTAGAAATGAAGGGCGACTGCAGGCATAATCCCAAAAAACTACGGAGAAATGCTGTGGCGTTTTTATGCTGTTGTCGCTTTGAAATTGCATATCCAAATTGGCCGGTAGTTCATGACAATAGTATATAACAATATTAAAATATATATATAAATGTTGGCCGCGGCTCCGCTTTAGATGGCCCATGCGCAAGGTCCAAATTTGGCACACTCTCTCCAACATACCGGCCGGTATCTCACGAATAAATGCTTTAATATTGGCTTCCAGTGCGTCAATCGTTGCTGGTTTATCCCTGTAGACATTAGCCTTAACATGGCCCCACAAGAAATAGTCCAACGGCGTTAAATCACATGATCTAGGCGGCCAATTGACGGGCCCCAAACTTGAGATAAACTGTTCACCGAACTCGCCTCTCAATAGGGCCATTGTTTCGTGTGCGGTGTGGCATGTGGCACCGTCTTGTTGAAACCACATGTCAGCCAAGTCCAGCTCTTCCATTTTGGGCAAAAAAAAGTTTGTTATCATCGCACGGTAGCGCTCGCCATTCACAGTTACGTTCCGGCCATTGTCGTCTTTGAAGAAGTACGGCCCGATGATGCCACCGGCCCATAATCCACACCAAACAGCGATTTTTTCGGGATGCATTGGTAGCTCTTGCAATGCTTCTGGCTGGTCTTCACTCCAGATCCGGCAATTTTGCTTGTTAACGTACCCATTCAACCAGAAATGAGCTTCGTCGCTGAACACAATTTTTCGATTTTTCAATTCTTGCGCCAGCTGTATCTTATAAGGTTTTACACCCAAATCCTGTCGCAAAATTTTCCACGTAGTGGAGTAACAGAGGCCCAATTGCTGCGAACGGCGGCGAATCGACATTTCACGGTCATCACTAACACTGGCAAATACAGCCGCAATATTTTCTTCAGTCCTCACTCTAACGTCTGCGTGTTGGTGGTTTAATGTCCAATTATCTAAACTGGGTTCGAAATTTAGTCACAAGCTTCCGAATAGCTCCCTCAGTAGGCCGACCAAATTGCCCATAAATTGGAAGCAGAGCTCGATGCATTCTCTTAACCGAGCATGAATTTTGATAGTAAAATTCAATAATTTGCAAGCGTTGTTCGTTCGTAAGTCGATTCATGGTTAAATTATAGACCAAACTGAACAAGTTTGACAGTGATACAAGACACGATTCACGCGTCATTTGTCAAAAACAGTGTTGCCAAAAAGATACTAGCAAAAAAATCATTATATAAATGCGTATTTTGTGTTAGGTCACAAAAAATATGGAAAGGTACTTTGCCCCTTAAAAAAATAAATGAACTTTTAAATAAACGCGATTTTCCTAGTCAATTACGACGATTTTGTTCCAACTTCCCTTCAAAATTCTTTTGAGTCACAGCACTTAAAATACCTGAAAAATTGTTCGCAAAAATACACAAAAGTGAAATACATTACGAGCTTTTCAAGCTCTTTATTGGGTTAATAACGATTTTACTATATTTTTAAGATACTAATTCGAAAAGTTCAAAAAGACTCATCAAAGCTCTATTGTTTTCACCCTACAAGGTGAATGATGTATGTATGAATTGGCAAAATGACTTTTATTTCAATATATTGTATGGTTTACTACTCTAAACTTTTAAACAAATGTAAGGCTAAAACGTTTTAGAAATGGCAATTAAATGCATAAGTATTCTTGTGTTTGCTCGAAAAAATCATAACTAGGACATTATGCGCACCATCCCCATGATTTTTTAAAGATATAATAGATAACTACGCTATTGGCACCGTGGGCGTCATGAAAAACGTCCAAATATGGAGGAATGACTCAACAACACGACACGCTCAATGACCATGCTGCAAGCTGCAAGTGAGTTCCCAGCATGCTTTGTTGGTTGCACAATGCCAAGATGCCGTATGTAGAAGATGTGTGGTGGAGTAGCGGAGTAGCAAGATCACATCTGGATGATTGTGTGTATTGGTCTGCATGTGTATAAAATCAGTGATAGATACTAGTGAGAAAATTATCACTGAATATGCTGCTCATGAAATATACTAAGTGACATATAAATCCGAACACCCAGTTTAAATGGTTTTATTTTAATAAAATTTTGTATAAGTACTTAATGAAGCATAATAAGTAAATGATAAAAATTTCAAAATGATTGCACTGCTTTAAAGCCCTTTGACCTTTAATAATGTGTGGATACACCCTGATGTGCTACGCATTCTCCAACGCGCCTAGGCATGCTTCTGATCAGGTGGTCAATGTCCTCCTGTGGTATCTCATTCCAGGCAACCACCAACTCCTCTCGAAGTGCTTCTAGAGTCTGAGGAGGACAAATTGAGCAATCTCATCACCACCCATCATATCCCACACGTGCTCAATTGGGGATAAGTCGGGAGATCTTGGTGGCCATGGTAACAATGTGACATCATTATGTTGAAAGAAGTCTATTGTGACTCTTGCAACATGTGGTCGGGCATTATCTTGTTGGAAAGTTGGATCTTCCAGGGTGTCAAGATAGGGTAAAAGATGGGGTTCTCGAACTTCGTGGATATAACGCTGCGCGTTCATGTTACCTCTGATGAAGATTAAAGGTGACCTGGAACCATAAGCTATAGCACCCCAAACCATAAATCCAACAGTGTGATGAACATGTCTTTCAACAAAAAACTGTGGATTCCTTTTACCACGTCGCCTTCTAACCCTGGCACGACCATCGTGCATGCCTAAACAAAATCGAGACTCGTCACTAAAGACAATACTGTTCCATTCCTGATCCCAGAGTGACCGTTGTCTGCACCACTCAAGGCGATTACGTCGGTGTTCTCGAGTTAAAGGGAGGACCCAGTGTGGCCGGTATGAAAACAAGCCAAAACTTCTCATTCGTCGGTAAACACTTCGCATGCCAATACGCCTTCCGTGTTCTGCAAACCATTCATTTGCAATGGACCTGGTAGTGGAGAAACGGTCCCTTAAGGCCAATAATCTTAGGCGGCGATCTTCACGGTCTGTTGTTCTACGGCGGCGTCCAGTGCCCCTTGCTCTTTGCGTACGGCCTTCTCGAAGCCATGCCTGACAACACCTAACCACAGTGTCTACACTTCTTTGCACTCTAACTGCAATTGCCCGAAAAGAAAGTCCAGCTTCCCGAAGTCCCACTATACGGCCCCTATCAAACTCACTAAGTTGACGAAATCGTACAGGTCTCCGTACTCTAGGCATCGTAACCGATCGTAAAGGATGTCAAGAACCAAAATCCGCCAACGTTGATTCTTTACTGCGGCTGAAATATTCATTTTTAGAGCGTTAGTGAATTAAAAAAAAGCAGTATAAAAACCCGAATGTCCAACTGATAAGGCTGAAAATGTTTTCACTTGTTATTTACAGTAAGATAAATACATTCACCAACTTTTATTAAAATAAAACCATTTAAACTGGGTGTTCGGATTTATATGTCACTTAGTATATATCTATTAGCTGTACCAGACGGGTTGCATGTGTTATCCTTTCTGGAGAGAGGTTACGTTCAAAGTTATAAATTACGATTTTTCCCGTTTTTCTTTTCTTCGTTTTCAAAAACTTTGAGAAGCATTATGGGAAATCGCCACCGCGCCGGCGTTTAGTGTAATCAAGCCACATCACACACAAAACATTTTCGCAGGCTCTGATTTGTATTTCCTACTTTACATCGTAAGATAAATTTCTATACCTAATAATTTATTATGACTGGAAATACAAATTAATGTGAAATGTAATAACTTTTTTACGTTTCATAAATATTTATGTATGAACCCTATTTTCTCACCTGTTAGTTTTAATATATAGTACTTCACCAACCAGGGATTTTCTTTTCTTATCGCCCGCTTTTTTGAAATTCAACAAATTTGCATATCTAATTTCCAGGTTGAATAAGCAAAGGGGATGCCCAACTAATTTTTAGGTTTGCATGCATGTCAAGTAAGT